AAAGACTGGGGTGACTGGCACCAGGCGCCGAATCCTCAGCCTGCCCTTGCCGCTGACGTCGGGGTGGACTGGTCTGGAGTTGGTTTGCCATCGGTGGAGGACATTCTTCGGTTGTGGTCCGTGGTGGGTCAATGTGGAGGCGGGACTACCACGACGACTACCTCTGCCCACTCTGAGAATCGGGATGTCAACGGTGAGTCTTCCTGCTCGACGACCTTGCCGCACACTGGGACGTCCTCTTCTTTGCCTCCGACTACCACTACCCTCGAGGATGCGGACCACGAAGAAGTGGCGATGATGCAACGGGGAGCACCTGATCCGGTTGACAACAGGAACGCCGACGACGACACAACTACTCACACCTGGCGTCTTAGTGATGACGAAAGGGATGACCTTCTTTCTGTGGGGTGGAGTGAAAACATGATCTCGGACCTCAATGCCATGCTCGACTTCCTGCACGACGTTGGCGAAAACTGTGGGGTGGATCATGTTGCCTGGGCACTTGGGATGTGGGCTCACAGCAACATCCTCGCCGAGACAACCGTGGAGCTGGTCAACGACGTGATGTTCCGCCGTGTTCAAGGGGTGCCAGAAAATCGCCCACATGAGTATGGGACAAGGGGGCGTCTGTGTGCTGGCCTGGCTGGCTTCCAAAAACAACTTGGGACGTTTCAATGTGGGTTGGTCCAGACACGGTTACAGGATGCCTGGTTTACAGCCGAGGACATTGGTGAACCGCCTCCTCGTCCAGCTGCAGGCGACATGCTACAACATGACAACACTGCCAGGGCGATGAGTGTTGCTCGCCAAAGGGCACGAGCGATGATAGCGCGGGCTAGAGCTACGCGTGCGCAACAGTCAAGTGACCAACCAAGGGATGGACAGCCAAACTCTGGGGCGAGCTCTTCTACTGACCCCACTCTCCACTCTGGGGTGAGCTCCTTGGCACGACCAGCAGCTTCAGATGCGGCTCCAGTGCCGGAAACCAGTGGGGTGCAAGGAGTCCGTCGCCCTC